CTTAATGTAGAAAATACTCATAAATACAAAATATAAATTATTGCAAGTTATATGAAATTCTTGAAGAGAATAGTAATTATTTGCATAAAAATTGATGAAATACACTAAGAAATAAAAAATCAACTCCTAAATTAAGCAGCCAAAATAAAAATTAAACAGAGTCAAGCTTTATTTTAATGTTTATTTTATTAGTAGCTCATAGGTTGACTTAAATATATTAAGACATACAGATAGTTTATGAAGCTAACTATGTTAATACATGAGGACAAGGAACTGCCATCCTCCACCTATCTGGAAGGGTCATTCTTAATGTTCAGAACAAAAAGGTTTGACAACGATAGATAGAGATTATATAAGAGTTTCATAATAAATGATAATGACTTCAAACAACTTATGAAGACCTGTAGTTGAAGTGAGATGAAAGAGAAAAGAAAAAAGTAAAAGGAGATCATAAAATTTCGTCAGCAATAGAACTAGAAATTAATCCAAAGGCAGGAGGAGGAATTTGGTTTCTAAGATTCTATTAACTCAAGCTAAATATATTTCTTAATCATCTACATTTAGTTTTTCCCATCGGGTCTTTTTCTATTCCACCCTACTATACTTCATTATTGCCTTAAGTATTGCTAAGAGTTTTAAAAGCTGTATTTTCTCTATATATATTGAGTTTAATGCTTACTATATAGCCTTAAAAATGCAAATTTACGAAAATAATTTGAGAGAAAGTTTAAAAATAAAATATGAGATCGAAAGCAAAGGATTTGATTTTTTCTTATTAAATTATATTGATTAATTAAATCTTGTTATTATTTTTTTGTAATTCCATCACTTATTTGTTTCTTCCAGTTTTATATAATATCTGGAATTCTTAAATGCAATCAATGTGATCAATAGCTGAATCAACATTAACATGTTTAAAAAAAATTCCTTTAACTCTTACTTTTTTTCATGAAGATAAATTAGATTAAGTAAGATTATTTAAGACAAATGTTTTACCTTTATCATATAATACTACAACTGTAACTGTTGTTACTTCCCATTTTATTTAAGCTTTATTATTAGTTAATCCAACTAATTTTTTGTTTGCTCAAAATGACTTACTTTTATAGATAATCCATCCTTATTATACATTATTTATAAGATCTATAGAAAGGAAATCATAAATTTAAATTTCATCAATTCTTCTTGTGTCTTATATTTAACTAGATCATTGAAAATATTTTCTTGAATTTTATCATTTAACTTTGACTACAGTTAAATGAACAATTACAATTTATAGTCCTTATCTGACCCTCCACCTTTTATCTCTAAATTCATTTTAAAAATAATGAGATAAAATACTTTACATGACAAAGATTAATTTTGATTATAACCCTTAAAATTAATATACCTTTAAGATATTACCTAATCTTATTTTGAGGTGCCATATTGACAAATTCCTTTTGTTATATATCACTCTTGAACTTTAAAGAACATTACAAAGTAGTGCTTACCGTATTTTAACCTGAAAAACTTTTGACTGGTTTAGAGGGAACTAATCTCAGTTTTGCTTTTGACCTTAAAAGTTTTGATGTAGAATTTGATCTAGCTCAAGTCTATAAGAAGAAAGTAAGTATGTGAATGTGTGCTTGATAATGAGCAGAAAATGAATCAAATATAATATGGATAGGGTTCTTATGAGAGATTCATCCTTATCTTAAAAAGACAAAAGAATCAACAGCATTTAAAATGATTCTTCATAAATCTGTTATTTATGCCAATCTTTAACTTAGCAGCTATTCAAAAAGAGTTCTCCTTTTTTTAAACAAGGAATTCTCAGATCTTTATATAAAAAGTCATGAAATAAAATATCAACTTAAATTGTATGTCGGCTTTAGTTTATGAATAAACCAAAAATGCTTTTTACAAAATGAAATTTTACTTTTCAATTGTTGGGCATTTTCTGCAACATGAAATTTACATTTGATTGTCAAAATGCTCTACTTTTAAGGTATGAATCTTCGAAATTAAACTTTGATTTTAAAACAACCGCAAATATACAATTAGCGATAGGATATTATCAAACTATAATTAAAAGATGAAAATATTTACCATTAGTAGTATTTTATATTTTATAACTTCAATTTGTATTCAGAAAAAATCGAAATATATTGGAGAAAGTTCAAAAAAATTGTTAATTTGACTAATATTAAAATCAAGTTTAAATTCTAATTAAAAGAGAAATTTCTTATGAATAATATAAATTTAATTTTGATCAGAATTATAAATCATCTTATAAAGGAGTTGCTATTAATATTATATGGGTTCAAAATAGAGACTTAAAAATTAGTTATATGAATGATTGTTACTATAAATCAAAGAATTGAGCATTATTGAATATTTTTTAACTATGGTTGCTTAATTAATGGTTTAGAATTTAAAATATGCTTTTTTTTTAATTCTAATAAAGAATATGTTCAACATTTTCAAATTTGAACAAAACATTGTAAATAATCTTCGCACTTTCTTTCGTGTCTACTGATGCAATTTTTAAGTAATTTAGATTGCTTCTATCTTAGTAGTATTTGTAGCTCTGGATGCTTATCAGTGAAATTAACTTGAATCCCATATTTCCAAAAATTAAAATCATCATCATCATAATCAAGTAATTGATTGATATCTTCTTTTCTAATTGAGTCTGTTTCTCTTTAATTATCTTCATTTTGAGATTAAGATTTTAGTCAAGAGAAATGGTTTATCATTCTATATACATAATAAAATAGCAATTCTCCTTGGATATTCAATCTTGTTTCTTGTTACTTATGATAAATTGGTATGTAATGGATTAATTTTGTTGCTATCTTGAAATAAGCACAAGTTATATATAACAGATATAGTCTATACCTTAACTGGTTTTTATAATAATTATCAGATATCAACCGCTGAGTGTTGAACAGGTCTCTTGTAATCAACTAACTAAAATTATAGTATGTCATTCTATTTTCTTATTAAGCTATATACTCTGAATATGATCGGCCATAAGTATTTTATGATATCTGAGAGGTTTTTAAAACCGATTTCATTTCATTACAACTGTTTATGATTTCAAATATTTGGTAACTTTTATTGTTATCCTTTTAAGGGGTTTTTTTTAATCTTGTCTATTTACAAATTTCTAAAAATTTTTTTATATCTGAGCTTTCAATCAAATAACTGTAAATACTAAATATCACCTAGAAGCAATTTCTTACAAAAACTGTTTCCTGTCTAAATTATAAGTAATTTAAGGTACTTTCAAATAAAGTCTTCATAGCATGTTTGCTCAAATTCGAGTAATTCAGCACTTTATGGACGAAATCCAAGTATGAATTCTTTTTCATCCCTTTTTTAGTCATAAAAAATATTTGCATGTAATGCGTGGCATCTAAATATCGAAAACTTTGTTCAATCAGTTTAAATTTATTTTGTGAAGAATTGAATGTTAAAGCAATGTTTTTAAATATCAACATGGCGAAACATAAAATAAATATGAAGAATGAGGAGTGATATTTATTAAATAAACAAATAATATATAATTATAAAGAAGAAGTACTTTAATAGAAATTGATATAATTTAGATAAAAATTAATGTTACAAGATTTAATCATAAATTGTCCAAATCAGGAACATGACAACAACGTAAAATTAATTTGCTTTGAAGAATGCAAAACAAACAGATTATTTTTTATGTAATACAATAGAGAGGGAATGCCTGGTTCTCATCCTTAATATTAATATGAATTGCCGATTTTATTGGAACATATTGAAAAAGCTTATTAAGAATGTGAACATTTTGTTAATAGAATGAAATAAATCATAGATTTAGTTTATTAATCGTTTAATTAATTAATTGGAGGAATCAGAGAAAAATTTCAAAGTTCAAAAGA